TAATTAAATATATGTAATTAATTATGATGTTTATTAAATAATAAAAGTCATTTTCTATTTACTTTTTATAATTGTTTAACAAGTCGATTTATTTCTTATATTTAATCATATTTTTCGTGTTTAAATACACGTGCCTTTAACGTAAACTTTCATACTTTTTCATATTTCATGTATTATTCAAGAGAAATAACAAAGTAAACATTCGTTGATGTTAACGTTTCTGCATTTAACGAGTTATTTTCAGTAATTTTACGGTAGAAATATTTCAAAATGAGTTTTGTTTTTGAAGTCGTTAGTTTGTTTGTCCGTATACGGCAACGCAAAACATCGGCCATCATCTAACGAGAAGGATGCCTATAAGGAGTACTTTTTACGAAAAAAACGATCCCTATTTCAATGATCCAAACGTAAAAAATGCTGCAAACACATAACTGATGAGTTAGCCACGTGTTTGCACCTTTCCACTTTAGCTTGCGCCAATTATTAGCTGTGTTCGGTAGTTTTATCTACTCTGTCTTTTAAAAATCAATTTTAACATTTATATTTTGTATATTTAAGTACAAATCAAATTAAATATTAAATATTAGATTTCACAGATTTCTTCTCAATAAAAAGTGTTTTTTTCAGATAAAACCTCTGTTAAATATAAAATTATTTAATGTAGTCTTAATGCAGATTTATTGTTTCGTTATATTCTAATACTTATAATAACAAAGAAGGAAATTTGAAACTTTCTCATTTCTTTTCTTTTTCGCTTTAACAAAAGTTTCTCGATACATAGTCTTACGTTATTTACTATTGTCAATACATGGCTACTTTTGTTATTAAACAACGAAACATCAAAAAAAATTAAAATACACTAAGTAAATTGTATGCACGTCATCCTTTATTGTTTATCCTTTCATGTTTCTATTATCATTTTGATAATTTTATGATCGAAAAAATTTTTTTATAAGTTTAGATTCCCATAGATCTTAACTTTAATTCCAAAATTGAAAATTCTATAAAAGTATCTAGAACAGAGAAGAATTGGAAAATTCTAGTTGAAGTTAGTTAGGGGTGAATTATTGGGCTGCAATGTGAAAAATTGTAGAACTATAAACTCGCACTGGCTGTCTGTCCTTTCTTAATCTCGAGAAAGGTGTTACATAGACGAAAGACAAGACCAGACAGGCAAAACATAGGTCCAGGAGAGTCGGATTAAATGTATACGAACTTACGCTTCGAATCGGAAGTGACGTTATTTCGATTGAAATATTTTCTCCCGAACGTAGTTTATATACATGACAGCCATGACTGTATTGTTAACAGGAAAATGTGATGAACAGTGGCGAGACACTGCTAAACTTATGTGAATTGTGAGAAGAAATTGACGCCCAGCATTGTCACATTGTTTAGAGAAATAGATTTTATAAGAATATTTGTATTTATAATAAGTTATTATTTCTAACGGAAACTGAATCAGTTTTTGTTTCAAATTGTTTAGTAAACAATATTTATTGTAAAGCTTGCAAAATTATGATAGCTGTTATTATATTTCGTGTACTAATGAGTTACCTATTAAGCCGTTATTATCTGCCCATATAATATTGGCTTAATTATTATATTTATTTAATTAATAACAACACTCTGTTGGTAAGCAAATAATTCGAGTATTAAAAATACACATCGGCTCGAAAATAAAGCTTTAATTATATATTTTTGTCTGAGGTTATTAATCGTATAGAATTTATATAAAAATCATTTGTTTCTTCAAAAACTTTTGATATAAGGAAAAGCTTCATAATTTATGTAGGTGTCTTCATTTTGTTGTTTGTTCCGTCGATGTTTATAATTAAATAAATAAAGATTTTAACAAAGTAAATATAAAAATAGTTCCAATCTACGAAAAATTGCGAAAGAGAATACAAAAAATAAAGCTGGAACAAAGTAATAAAATAGAAGATATATGTAGCACAACGAATGTAGTTTATTCCATACTATGTACTTGTGAAAAGCCGAAAAAATACACAGGAGAAATAAAAAGCAGGAGTAAGACTTAAAGAACACGCCGCCGATTTGAAATAGAGAAAACTAAACTCAGACATTTACGATGATTGCACAATGAATAATTGCAATATTAACAAAGAGAAAGAAAGGATTTTACACAAAGAAAAAATTGATACAATAGAAAAGTCAAAAAAAATCATATTAATAAAAATTTACATATAAAAATTACTGAAAACTGTTTAAAGAACATTATAAATAAGTATAAGGAAGTTAATTTTAAGGAAGAAAAATTGTGTATTAATATGTAAATTAGCAGATAGGTTAAAGAAAAACCCGAAAATTCAGTAAAAAAAATGTTATAATCAATATCAATATATATTATAAAGGTAAGTGTACAATGTGCGTGCCGCTAAAACTGAAAAACGAGTCCCGGTACGATTAAGGGAGTTATATGGTGTGAAGAAGGTTCCCGTTTTTACCCGAAGGGCGTGCTGTTGAAGATATAAGGGCTGGAAGTTTCGCCCTCTAGAAATTTCTAGAACATTCCAGAACATTCGAGAGTATTCGGAAGCATTCCACAACATTCCAGAATGTTCCGGGATGTTCTGGAACGTACGGGAACATTCGGAACATCCTATGTCATCGTGGAACATTCCAGAACCCTCTAGAATATGGTGGAATGTTCTGGAACATTGTGGACCAAAGCCTTTTTTGTATGGGTGGGACTAACCATTGGTGGGAGTATATAAAGCAAGATCCGTCGTGGGTTCGAACGTCAGTTTCTTATCAGTGACGAAGGAAAAACTGAAAAAGTGAAAATTCCATTATTAGAAACGTTTAGAACGTTCGAAATTTTCGACAAACACTTCCAGTTATCCCCAATTCAACAACAGCAAACGAGATCAATACATGCTTAAAAAAAATCACATCTCTGTCCACACATACAAATACTGCGACTAAGAAAAAATATGAGAGTTGAATTCTCGAAAGACGAAACAACAGCACATTTTGCTCAAAACTTTTACAAATAGGCGAAGGCACATATCCCCCCCTTGACCAAACGACTGGCCTCATTAAACTCGACAGTGATTTTTGCAACATAGCCACTACCGAAAACAAACCCATCGACCAAATTTATCCAAACATTGTTCACAACTATACCAATCCGGAGTGGCTATTTCAAAGGGCAATTTTGGTAACTAAAAATAACATTGCCGATGATATCAACTTTAATACAGTATTCAAAAGAAAATTCCCGGTGAGGAGAGAATATACAAATCGATCGACACGATGGTAAACGTTGAAGGAAGTGTCAACTTCCATACAGAATTTCTAAACTGTTTGCGAGTACCAGGAATGCCATTACACTACCTTCGACTGAAAATTGGATCTCCGATAATACTACTGTACTCAGAAATCTGAACTCACCAAAACTATGTAACGGAACAAAGATGATCGTCAAACATCTATCGAATAACATCATCGAAGCCGAACTTATGACTGGAAAGGACAAAGGACAAACAGTATTTATCCCCAAAATACCACTGATCTCTACTGAACTGCCATTCCAATTTAAAAGATTGCAATTTCCAATCAAATTACCCTATACCCTGGATAAGAAAATGAAAAATGTTGTTTATAAACAAGTATTGTAAATAGAATATGCTTTCAATAAAAATTTTTAATCTCTTATATTTATAAATTTATTTAAAATATAAATGTATATTTTAAATTATGTAAAATTTATGTAAAAAGTAGAATAAATAAATATTTTTAAAAAACAATATTTTATTATATAAAGGCTTTTAAAAAACAAAAAACAATTTTAATATCTGAACGAGATGAAGAAAAACCTGTTGAAAATTAACATCACCACTGCAGGCTAATTGCTGTTCAGTGCCCTGTAGAGAAATTTTAACTGTAAATATATGTATTTTTAAAAAAGGATGTGTATCAGTTAGCACCTCATTACTAAATGTCTTTAAAGAAAGGAACGTTGCAATTTTTCATTATATAAAAAATTTTGTAATATGGAAAATACATGTTCATATATGCACTTGTTATATGCATATTGCACTGGCTGCTACATTGATGCGTCAATAGTAAGTGGAAGTGCGAGGGAGCAAAACACTGTTCGAGTGTCAAACTATCATTGATGTGCGTGTTCATTCGACAACCGGCCAGATATGAATACAGTAGAACCTCTATTATCCGGACCTCCATTATCCGGATTTTCGATTATCCGGATTGTTCAAAATAAACAAAAATTTTANCATAGCGAATCGACAAGAGAATGTCTCAGGTTTGTATTGTGCTAATAGAAAAAAATAGTTAAATGAATTTCGTATTATTCAACACACAAATTTCAATATCGCAATTTAGATTCCAGTGTAAATATTTGAATAAATACAATGTATATTATAGTTATAACATATATAGACAATGTTTAATCAAAATTTCAATTATTACATCTTATTTGTAAAGTTATATGATTACATATAGTTTATATGATACAATTATATTTGATGTAATTTAATGAAGATCGTGATGACTTCTAATAAACAATCGAGCAATTATTTATTGTGACGTTCTCGCAATGCCGAACTGTAATTTTTAATTACATTTTTTTTTTCCTAAAATATATTCTCTTCGCTTCATTTTATTAGTCTTTCCCCTGTACATCATACTTTCCTACTAGCAGAAGAGTCGTCTATTTAACTCTTTTCTCGAGATTGAGGGAAGAAAGACGGACGGACGGACGGACGATAGTGCCAATTTATACGTCTACAATCTTTTCTAATTGCCGCCCGATTAAAATTTATAAGAATTTTCAGACTTTGAGCAGATAAAATTACTTTTTAATTCGATTTTAAAGTATTTATTTTGAAATTACGTTTAAAAATACAAGTGCAAAAATGAAAAATTAATCTCTTTATTTCATTTTTAGTTTGTCCTTTATTACATCTAGAAATAAATAAAAGAGAACAAATTTCTTTTCAACATTTCACGTGTTTACTACTTATGTTATTTCTTAAGAAACAGCTTAATGTTTTGTTAGTTAGGATAATCTCAATTATATAGAACGATAGAATAAAATATCCTCACGAGAATTACTTTAAACACCAACAACACGGGTGTACTCTTCCAGCCACAATCAGAAGAATCGGCAACGTCTTCTACACCAAAGCACAGTCGTAACATATTGGACCTGTCCCGTCGACACTCCCCGTCCGAACACAAACACGTGTCTAATTGTCCGGCCAATTTCTGTTTGTTCAACATATAAATGCTGTTGTTGCAGCGTCTGTTACACGTATTACCGAGCAACATCTCGGAACAAAGACTGGTGTAATACCGAAAAGCTTCGGCACACACCGCGTCACTCAGACACGTGCTCCGAGCCACCCCACAGTCGACGGGCGCGAGCTGTCGTTGTCCGCTAGAATTGTCGTCGCGCCCGTTCCAGCAGGACCGTATTCGATTTCGCACGGTTCGACAGTAAGAGTCGTCGGCGCAGTCGCAGTGTAAAAATTCGAATCCCAGGAGGGTGGTGGACAGATCGACGATGGATATTCGACACACTTCCGAGCAGTTGTCGGTCAGTCCGTATCTCTCTCGCTCGCAACTGATTCTGTAACTGTGCATGACCAAGCCGCACAGGTGTGTGGCCGTGCACTTGTTCGTCACCTCTTCGCACGTGCTCTGCGCCTGCACGTGAGACGAAAGTACACCGAGAAATAAAAGAGGAGTGGCTTCCAGTAACATATCGACTGTCGAAATTGCCGGTCGGGAAGGAGTAACGCGTAAGTGGAGGATGACGATTTTATATCGCGTTGCTACGTGACGGCGCAAACTCTATGATATTTTGAGATAAACTGCAAATAGCAAATGATGCGACGTTTACTTATTTCCGACTTGACGTTTTATGCATTCCTTTTTTGTAAATTAATTCTCGGAATCAAATACCTTGGTTAATTTCATTCGTAATTTTTCGCATTTAATTAATACTTTTTGACATTTCAATTTTGAATAGAACTAAAAATTCCTCCGAGAATGGAATATCAATTCGAAGCATTTATTAACATTTTTCCTTTAAAAATGTCATCGGTTTTTGTGTTACGGATTATTAACGCCGTAAGCTAATTTATGTCTTCTCTCTCTATTATTGTTATTCTTTACGAAATGCTGATTTTAATAAATAATAATTTAATTTAAAAGTCTGCTATAAAATTTAATATAAATTGATTTAATTATTCTT